GGAAGATTCCTTTAAGGCCTTGATTTCAGTGCGTCCCAGGATCCTTCTTGCTTTTGTTTCCACTTTCAGGTCACTCCACAGCTAATCCATCAATACGGAGCGCGCATAGCACCAGTTTAATCTCGGGGTTTGCCTTTTAACGTTGAGTCCACTTCCACAGTTCGAGTCGCTGGTACATCGTTCGACTCGCTGGCGCAAAGTTCGATTCGCTGGTGCAACGTTCGATTCGCTGGCGCAACGCTCGGATCCAGCGATTCGCTCGATTCGCAAACTATGACATCGGCCTCCGTGACAAGCACCACCTTTCGTGGCACAGCCCGCCGTGGTTGGTATGGATAAAGGCTACAGTCGAATCAAACCCATATTTATTTATTTTTTGGGAACGTAGACAAGTCTACGTGAAACAGACAGTCAAACCAAAAAAGACAAGAACACATAGCAGAAATTTGACTGAAAACACATAACTCCTATTTCACGTGTTTTGGACTGTTTTCTCACAAATTTTTTTGATGGCTGCACCTTCTACCACCTGGGTGGAGCATGTTATTTTCGGAGGGTATAGAGCTGGTTTCTGGCTGTAATTAACCACACCAACACAACTTTGGCAGGAAAGAGATCTGGATCCAACGCCCTTAGCAAGTCTCCTGATGGGGAACAGAAGTTTTCCGGGCTTTCAGTGATTATTTTCTAAATTTATTGACAAGAATTATGTTTAGATTGAAGAGTTCTATTCGTCTAAGGCTGGGCAAGTGAGGGGGAGGGAGACGAGGTGAAGAAGGAAGGGGGTTGCAGAATTCGTTCTAAAGAATACCTCCAAAGTCTTGTCATTCAGAAAACTTAGAGCTATGCCGCCCTTCTTCTTTTCCTACTTATCGTGCGAAAAAGTCGAAGAGTGGAAGGAAGCTGAAATAAAGGTGAATTTGTTCGTACCACCACTTCTCTTTTGTCGGAATTTTCTCTTGCTTTGGCTCGCACCTTCATTGCTGATTCGTAGGGATATCGCCACAATTCTCGCCGCCAATCACGTCGCTTTCAATCCCTCCCCACCTCGAGGCGGAAAACGAGTCCTCTTGCTCCGACTTCAAAACGGACCATTGACCCTGATCCAAATGCCAAATATTCTTCAGAAGTGCCACAATGGTTCAGATGTGGCGCTTCGCAATTCTGGATGCCGAAACTGCTGACATATACAAGACGAGCAACCAGCAAGCTTTCAGCATGCACAGGCAGCTGACTGTCCCTTTATATAAATTTTAAAGAATCTTCCACGGACCATGGACCAGTGGGCGGGACCGGAAGTTTTTGTGACGAAATGCATGGTAGGTACGGATCCACGTGTCGAACGCACGAACGTGAACAGGATTCACTTCAAACCTTCCCATGAACGTGGATCCGTACCTACCATGCATTTCGTCGCAAAACCACTTCCGGTCCCGCCCACTGGTCCATGGTCCGTGGAAGATTCCTTTAAATAATTAAACTTCGCTGATGTCAAATTTTAAAAACTACATGAATGATCCTGAAAACCAATACACGGTGCCGCGTATTCGCGCACTCGACGAGCGAGGGCTTCGTGATGCACCTGCCTAGCTCGAAAATCTTGTCATCACATCAAAGAAGCTATGTTTCAGTGTAATCCAACAAAGCGAGGGCTTCTACCATTAAACGAGGGATACGATAGGATTGGGTTGGGTTCATAGTGGAAGTGGAGATGCTGAATAATGCTCCAATGGTGAAACAAGCAAGGAAATCCGTCAAAAACGCGCAAAACAAAACTGCTTTCTCTGCCCGTTCGCCTCCAATAATGGACGAGCAAGCAACCAACTAAGGAGTCATTAGCATATCTTAAACTGATAGCAACCGTAACGCCAGCATAGACCATGCTTTGATTCATAACGCACTCCATGGGAAAGCTTAGGATACGCGCTCGAGGTTATGTGTTGATGTGTCTTTTTTTGTTTTTTTTTTTCAGTTTATGCATCTAATAATTGCACACTCTGCTATATTACATCTAACCTGCATTCCTTGTACGAAAATAAGCTGGCAAACACCTACAAAGTCGACCTAAATCGAAGAACACTGGTGCGCCCTGGGGTGGAGACAGACCGGGGAATCGAAGCTCAAAGCATCCTCAGCCTCCAAGGCGCAGCAACTAGCGCACACGCACCTTCAGCCACGAAAGGGGTCACATCTCGGTTCCCTCGGTCCCTGGCAACAGCTTGCTCTGGTGCACATTCTTCTATGCAGCACACAGACTTTATCGTAATATCTCGCTTTAGCCATCATCACTTGAATTTCCCTTTCAGAAGTTCCGAGAAACAATTCCAATAGACTATTTATAAATAAATTTTATACTATGAAAAACAATACGTCGCGATAGTCAACTAGCAACATTTGTATCAAAGAACCAACCAACAAAATCGACAGCACAGTAAATAAAACAAATAATTATGGAAAAGGATTTTTTAACTCTTGGATTAATCGCTATCACATTCACTGATTGGCACGTTTCACAAACGAGAAAAATTGAAACAAGCAAGAAATAACGTTCGACAGAAACAGTGATTGGACCAGCTATTGTGGCATTTTTAGTAAAGCCTCATAGTCAACCTCTCCGTCTTCAGTCATAGGCACGTCCTCGAGCTTCACATTACCCATACCCATCTTGCCCATTGCCAACTGAGCAAAGCCAACCTTCCCGAAATCAAAACTGGTTGTTCCACTGAAATGATAAGGAATTTTGGTGACAAGTGAGTTAGGAAATATAGCAGGAAAACTATAGACACAGGAAAGCACCACAAGAAGCATGGAGGAGTAGAAGGACTAAATAAGTTTAGCCTAAAGGTTTAAAAGAGCACGACAATAAGGTTTTCCCTTATGCAGCCACGGCTACTGGACACTGCTTTGATATTACTACGATAGTGAATTGAAAAAGAGTGTATTTTTTGCACCTTCTCGAGTATTTTTTCAATCATACAGAGTAAATGAGTCAAAGTGCTTGGCTCATGAATGCTACTACCTTTTCCTACTTTTCTAGGAACTGAAAACCGAGATAAAAGGACTTTCTTACTGCAATCGACTCATTGCAACTCCACATTTCGTCTTCATCTAAGACCATGGATCGTGAGGGTTCTCAATTGTTCTGCTCTGAGATGAATAAATGACAATCATTTTGAGCAGGGACCATGACCGTAGGCCGGTTGCGGAAGACCTTATTCCGTCTGTATCAATATTCAACAATCATATGGAGTGGGATGGGGATGGCACCCCATCGCGGCCTCGACAGAAACTCACTTTTAAGGAGTTTTGACAGTTGCTAACCTTCTTCTTCCCAATAACTACTTAAACGTCTCGATTACTGACTGCAGTTTCCAGAGGTAGTTTTTTTTCACTCAATTCGGAATGTTCGTAATAGGCGACACCCTATATATCACAGCTAACGTCCATCTTCAAACACTTGAAAGCCTTTCGAAACTTTCTAGTGCTTCCTGTCTTACCTAGCACAGCCTTCCTCTGAACCTGTTGCAAGCTACATAGATTACCGAACTACAAAGTCAAAGATTATCCAAATAGATTCCACCTGAATCAAAGAGTCCGAAAGAATGGTACAAGCGACACCACTCGTTGTCACATAGTTTGTGTAGAATGCCTTCGTGCTGTGGATTAAATTCTCATCATTAAAGCCAGTGCATACACAGCAAGAAATCGTCAGCTAATAAAACACATTCATTCCATCGCTAATGCTTTGTCTCATCCAGATTCGTAGGCCAGTTACTTACACTTGAAATAAAACCACTACTAACATCGTGTTCACTTCTCTGCTTATCAAGCAATATGAGCGAACTTTCCCCTTGCTTGCCAGCAAGATTTTCAGCTACGCCTACAACTTCTCTTCCAATTTTTTCATTGTGTAAAACATCACAAGTCAAATACTAAAGAGGACGAAAAACAGCCCTCTCTGTGAAGGCTATCACTTCGAAATGTAAATGGGATCAAAGAGGAACTTCTGGTAGCTCCTAGACATTTCCCCCGGAAAACATCCCAAATGAAGTCAAATGACCAATACACATCTTCACTTTCCTGAGGATGTGTTATACACTTTTCCATGCTCCAGTTCTGATTCCACATTCCTCGAATATCCTGACTGGTGCGTGACGAATCTTATTCGCAAAAAGAACGGTTCAGCCAAAATGTTTGACTTCAGACATAATCGCGATTTCCCACTTAAAATCAAGCATAAAGGATAAAAATAAGCATTTGCCGTTGATCAATCCCTTTTTGGGATGCGGCACGCATTCTACTTCCATTTGTACATTCGTAGTGGCGTTTGAATGCGATGTGGCCTATACAATGACTTGCGGGGGCCAGCCGATGTACAAGTCAGTGTTTTATCCTCCCAGACAAGTCTGGTACCAATTAACCGACCCCGGAACAAGTCTGGTAAAATTAACCGACCCGGAGGATGGGAGGCTTTTGGCCAGGATTTGATCCCCGGACCGCTCGCGTGGTAAGCGTGCCACTTGCCACTACACCACTTCCGCCCAAGAAAATAAATTTCCACTCAAACGGGTCATTCTGATTGCTACGGAATTGTGCTGCGCGGGGCGCAACAATGTGCTATGTTGCTTCCCTTGGTCTTGCGGTTGAAGTTCAGCAAATACATTCATAATTCTTATGAAAAAACCATAGATTTCTGAGAAGGCTTTAGGAATGGAAAAAATAATGACTAGGAAAAGACTGAACGACAGAGCAAACAAAGGAGGTTCTACCTACTATACCACTAACTCGTAAAAAAATTTGTTTATAAGATCAAACCCACCAATACAATATTTGGCTTCTTTGGAGAAACATTAGAGCTAAAAACGAAAATAGCAACATTAATGAAATACTCTTTCGTAAGAAAAAAATACCGCTTGCGAATTAAAGCGTTGGTAAAACAAGAAAAAGTGGTTTTCTAAACCGCTCTCAAACGACGGTTCACTTCTCTGTATGTTTTTAGATGAAGACATGTTGATACAGGCTATCGTTCAAAGAACTAACTCCAATGCATTGGCAGAAAAACACTCACCTAGTCAACCACCACATGATCAGAGGCTGCGACACAAGAATGAACACGATCAAGATAAGCTTCCTTTTTCGACCCTCTTCACCGCCGAAATGATGCGAATGAAATACAAAGTTCTTCACGGTGCGGAGCTTAATGAATGCTTATTGGTTCATAATATTGGTGGCTGCTGATGAAATAGTAAAGTTATGAAAATTAAGACAAAGTGTATGTAAAATTTATTGTAGGTTTGTCAAAAATCCAGTCGTCCAGGTCCTGGGAAGATATGTTATTCCACATTGCTGAGAGTATATATGGGTATATTAAGATTGCTAGAAACATTCAAAAACAAAAGAAATAATCGTGCGCCACCATGTGGCGCACGCCGTCCGTTACTGGTTAACCTTAAGCCATTGTCAGGACAATATGCTTCTCGTTTCAACTTCCCACTACATTTTTACGTTGCGATCACTAGTTCCGCCCTATCTGACGCCTCTTCCTTCATCAGCTTTTAAGATGCTAGGCTTAAGATTTAAGATCTAGCGAACACTAAATTTTATGAGGCGACGGAAAAGCACTCAGGAAATTTCGAGAAAACCGTTCCTTCTAGGTCAAATCTTGTGCAAGGTAGTTTGACGAGTAATTCGGTAGCCTTTTCACGTACCAAAAAGAAAACAAGAGCAAGTGATGTATAAGCCAGTGTGCAGTAATAAAAGGTTTTTCCACCAGCCATAAACATCAAAAGGCAGATAATCATCCTGAAATGAGGTCATTGAGCGTGAAGTGACTGTAGCTCTACAAATCCTCCAAATTTGTGGATTCCAGCAAAATTCACACAATGGGCTAATGAATATATAGTAAGCCAACGTACCCAAAAAACTTGTATGTGCTATATGCCAGAGAATGCCAGACGGACAAGCTCTGAAATAGAAGCGCTGAAGGAAGCAGGTAGAAAAACATTCAAATACGGTCGTAATTCACAATCTAAGCGTACCTGCGAAATGTTCATGACGTACTTGCTAACAAAAATAACTATGTTTTCGATGATGACCCAAATGAAAGCATTACTAGTAAGAATACCTAACATCTCCGGAGAAAACCTGAACAGTGCAAAATAATATAGCAACAGAGAACGATAGTGGTAGAAGCTGGTGTTCAGAGGAAAAATGAAAGAGCGGTGGCATTCCTTTCCCTCAGAACCAGGATGTTGGATGCGGGAAGCAGTTAGGAAACATGTCATAAAATATCATGTACTCCTGATTCACCATCCAAGAACCAAAAGAGAACCTTTACAGTAAATATAAAGAGCAAAAACGTAGACAACATAACATACAAAGAAGATTTTTGAGAATGACTGAGAAAACTCACCGCCCTTGTGTTCCTAGAACAAATCCTGAAACTATTACATATGTTATGAATGCCATTAATGGTATGTATAAATCGGGAGCATTAACATCATCTTTAGCTGGCACGGGCTCGTCAGAACCAGCATACTTTAAAGACCAGTCCTGAACAATTAAAATGAATCTACGAATTCCAACAGTACAAAAATGAAGACTTACACGATGGAAGAAAGGGAATAACAAAATTCCGAGCTTCTTTCCAACATAAGAATTATCAACAGAGAAATAATATTTGAGATTGAAGGTGTTCAGGTACTTGGATATCTGAAGATTGAATTATAAAACCGCTCCTATATCGGTTTATCGCTTCTCGGTTTATTACGAGCTTTGGATCTAGACTACCACAACCGCTCCAAATTGATAAGATAAATGGAAGAAATATCGTATTCGAATAGATTTCATGGCCATACAACCAATAAAGGTGGGCTGTCCCCCTCAGAAAATACATAAACATGACCCTTATGGAATTCCGTGATGTATTCTTGACTGCAATCTTAGTGAATGCTCAGTCTA